AAGTAGTTGGTAGATTCGAGTATAGTTGTTGGTTAGGCTAGAAGGGAGTTCTAGTTGTTGTAATTTCAAAACTATACGCATGTGCACAATCGAGTTATCAACGAAAGAACTCTGAGGGAAGTTGGACGCTTCCCTGAAGAGTTTTTTAAATCTTCGGTTTATTGCTTCCGCTATTCTAGTTGTTTATTTGTGTTCTAACAACGTTGAGTGCACTCATCGTAAAATACATACGTTTCAATATATATATAGGATGAGGTTCAAATGAGAACCAAGTGCTAGTGTGAGAACCGTGAGAACCGTTATTTTTAATCGTACGTAGTGCTATGATGATTGTGTTTTGATGCTATTTTTAATCATGATGTATTTGACTAAAAATAGCAACACAATTTATATTGGTACTAGTACGTGACCCGTGCGATGCACGGGCTAAATTTATTTGGGGAATATTATATTTTAAGATACATAATTAAATAAAAGTTTTATAACACATAGAGAAATTGTACAATAAGATAGTATTCGATAAAAAAAAATCATATATTATTAAAGACCTCCTTGTACACAACATTATGGTTTAATTATTGGGCAACTCGTCATTCTCACAAACTAATATCTTCAACCTCTTTTAAATAATCAATTATTCAAATACATCAAATAATATTAGAAACATAATAAAATAATGTTACCAAATAGAATTGATTCGTCAATTTTGTTGACATTTTGTAAAGTTGCAAAGTCTCTGAATTGAAATCGAAACGTAAGAAAAGTTTCTTTGCACTTCAAAAATATAGTGCTCCCATGCCGGCGACAGATCGATACATACCAATGTTGCTTTCAACTTGGTAGTTTCGTATAGCAATGGCCATACCCTCTTCAAGATTCCTCTCTCTAAACGCCGACAAATAGACTGCCCGTAGCCACGCCGTAATGCGATTTTCCTTGACAAATAATTTGAAACAGCAAATTGAAAAATAACTAATATGGTATGTAAATACTAAATTTGAACATATGCTTATTTTTATAATGAAAAAATAATTCGAAACCATATCGCTTACAGTTTTATCATGCAAAATAAACTCGAGATGCGACTTGTATGTGCATAGGTCTCTTGTTCCTGTCAACATCTTTGATTAACCCAAATGATTGATCCATTGCAAAGAATGTGATTTTATGTTGATCGTAAGATATATGTATTGTTGTTAAAAGAGAGTTTAAAATCGGTAAAAAAATCTTGTAGAAATTTGTCCAATGTAGACTTTTGTAAATAAAGAAATAATCAATCTCTTTACGTACACATTATTCTCGAGTTTGAAACAAAATCTCGAGTTTAAATCCATTTAAATTTGACTTTTAAAATAAAATATTGTGGAAAGAGATGAATTGTAGTTGATTTGAAATTCCTATTCCATATATTGTGGAAAAAGATTAATTGTCGTTGATTTGAAATTCCTATTCCATTGTATTTTGATATTTTGATATGGATTTGTATTTGGGATGAATAACCCAATTCCTTTATTTTAGGATATCTGATTTCAAAGTGTATTTCAAATTAGATTCCAAATTTGTAGGTGGAATCCGATTTCAATTCGATATTGAGTCGGTGGAATCGATTTTATGTAAAAAAAAATCCGAAATTAATTGTATATGAAATCCATTCTTTTCTTCTTCCCGAAATGGGATGGCCCCCGAGATGAACTAAGAACCTTTCTTAGGTACACCAATTTCAGAGGCAAATATAATTTTTTAATCAATAACAATGCATTGACACCATGTTTTAAAACATATGAAGGACAATAACTAAATTCAATTTGCAAATGCATCCCCTAATAACAAATGTGTTTTAAGCAGCTAACTTTAATATGAGCACAAAACATAATTCTGGAAAAAGGTAAAGTAAAAATACAAATATTGGTGGAGCAATTATCCTAAGCATCTCAACCATAAAATTTCAGATATTTGAGTTGCTCGCACAGCAAAACGATTCAAGAACAAAAATTAACCAAATGTCAACATTAATTACACGAAATATCACTGTCGAGGTTTGACTTTTGTTTATCAGTTCAAGGCAAGAGACTCGAAACTATGTTACTATAGGCAGCAATAAAAATAGTCCAATGTGCTTTTACCCAGCTCCAACATCACTAACCAAAATTAAGATCTAAACTGTCTTGACAGGAACATAACAAACTTGTGAACATTAGAATAAAATAATAGCCAATATCTAAAGCAGGAAATATTGAAAAGAATCAAGAACACAGAGAGGTTTAGCTTTAACTGTATACCGAAACAGAACAATCATAGAAAACCACATTCCTTATATATCAATCAACATAACCAAATAAGATTTTTATCCTCATCATTCAACATTCAAATTCAGAAAAATATCCAATAGATATCACCTAAAGACATTCGTAAAACTTCACCTCAGATCACCACACAGCACTTTATGTCTTCAGGATTATCTGGAACAAAATTTCCGTCACTATGAACATCATATTGTAGTGAACTAATAGAAAACATGGTCTCTTTAGAGATAAAAATAATAACAATAATAAAAATAAATAGGAAATTATAACACGCACTTCATTCCATTTAATCTAATGGGCATATTAATACAAGGAGCAGCACTTGTTGGGGTTTCCGCTAAGGTACAGATAGAAAATTTCACTTGTGGAACACTACTTGCCACAATCCCACCTCGCTTTTCACCCTCTCGACCGTTCATACCCACTTCACATTATCATTGACCATAGGAAACCTGGGTTTCCTTTTGCCTAGACAGTTTAGCCCAAAGTTTGCTTCGCTTGGCAAAAACCGCTAGAGCAGCTCGTTTAATATTTATATTGATTTCCCTTTCGTAGAGTAACATGAAAAAGATAATACACTTCGACATGTACCACAAGTTAGATTTTTGTTCCTTTCTTTTTTTTTTTTTTGGGTAAGATCAATGTAATAAATAAGAAGTAAAACAGGTTTTATTCCGAGAAACTTGTATAATCACATTATTCAACATTTATCAGGTTAAATAACCACATTCACAAACATAATGATCATTTTTAAATGATTTTTGTACCTTGATTTCTAGTCTCAGTGATTGCAGCACACACCGAATGAAATGAAGCTGGGCATTATTACCACTGATGGCCAATGACTCTGCAGCCATCTAAAGCAGGCTATGCTTCACCTCCAATAGTTCCCTTTCCTACACCATGGTATATTCATTCACACAAAATTTTCTCAACAAATGGGTAAAATAATAGAGACCAATAGTTCCCCAACTCATATAAAATCGAAATATGAGATATCTAGCACTTTGGAAAATATAAAATTCTAACCTCCAAATCAGAATAAGCAAGGAAAAGTTTCAAGTTTGAGGTTGCTACGCTCTAATTTGTTAACAGAAAAGCCAAGCCACCACTGGACACCAACAACTGTGTGAAAACATAATTTCAGCAGAGCCTCATTTACATACTAAATTTCACATTATGGATTTATCTTTTCTTAAATTAAGTGGAAGACAAACATAACTTCTCAACCAAACACAATTCGAGTTCTAATAATATCACCAAGAATTTGGTTCTTCATTATTACCCTTGCAGAAGTGAAATCGATGCCATTTTGTTCAGCTTCTTTTCATCAGGAAGGCCGATTTATGAATTATCGGCTCTTGCCTCACAACTCTGCCTTAAATACACAAAACCTTCCTGATGTTAAAATGACATATCTAAAACAACTCCCAAATGATTCATAAAAAATATAAAAGAATCAATAATATATGCACTCAAGCGCATGTACTTCCAGACCAAGGAAAAAAGCGATAACTGGAGTTGTACCTTAGAGAAAACATTGATTGTTTGGAAGAAAGTCTGCCTTGAGGCGGTGATCCCCACAGACAATCCTCACAATTGCTCCTGATTGTCCAACAGCTCAAATCTCTTATTTTCGGTCATCGCTGGGAAGTCACATTATCACATTCACCTGTCGGACAGTTCCATCGCCTTGCACTTGCTCAAAATGATCAAACCTAAACAAATCATAGATACCCCAAATTCCATCACAAATAATTATATCAATCATCTATGATAATAATAAATAACTAACAATAAAAAAGACAAATTTATTCTTAAATGTCAAGAGAACCTTGGAGGAAGTTAAGCAGCTTCTGCCTCCACACTTTGATAGAAGGGTGGGATAAAAGGGTGTTGCACAGGTTTAGACATAATAATCATGGTCATGAAAAGCCAAAAATAGAGAAAAAAAAAACCCATAAAAAACCAAGAAACTGAAAGGTGTAACCATTTTCACAATTACTCCATGATTGAAAAAAAAAAGTGATATTTAATGAAAATTTAGTTTGAAGAACAGACCCATTGTTGAAGAGATAACATGGAGCCTTTCACCCTAACGCTCGACTTCTAATTTTTGGTTTTCGAACCCGTGTGCCTCTCACAATCACTGAGTTCCTGCTTTTCAATTCCACATGAGCCACACTTGCAAGCAACTCTATACAAGGTTGTGATAGATAGAATTATTGCTTTCAGCTGATTAAAAAGTAATTGTGTATGTAATTGAAAATGAGCTAATGCTTACAAATGAAAGCTTGGAAATAAATCCCCTCCATGTCGAAGCACACAACTGCAACCTTGTTTTTCAGTGCAGGTTTAACATACTTTTTGTTGTTTCTGCACATTGAATCATAGTTCTAAGAGATTTGGAAATATATATATATATATATATATAAACAATTTAAAAATCCCATTGGCAGCAAAACACACTTTGATTTATACTGGTAGGTTTCGAGATCGGATAATTCAATGTTAAACCTACCTTGGCATTCCGGACAATAATAATTACTTGTTCCTAGAGCATGGGGTTTGATCCCAGAATTGCCCACCAACCCATTTTACAAAAATAGAAGAAAGAAAAAGAAAAAAAAGAAAAAAAAAAGATGATGATTAAATGGTCATAGCAGCTGGTTTTCTACAATTCACTGTCAAGAATGGTCATAGCAGTGGGTTTTCTACAATCCACTGTAATTTCGAAAGGATGACATCATTGAAGCCTAGGGATCTCATTTCTCTAATAAACCAAATGAGGAAAAACAACAGACGGATTAAGAAGAAGAGAAGAAAAGGAAAAAATGGAACAAATTCTTACATCAATGTTATACACAACAATGTCGCCTGGGGTCTCGAGGCATTTGCAAGAACAAAATGTGTCCCTGTAAAGGAAATTTGTTAGTACTAAGTGGTATAACATCAATTTCATTACTGGGAAAGCGGTAAAACGTATAAACCATAAATTCTTAAGTGCTCTTGCATTTAGATTTCAAGATCTAAATAAAGTCTTAGTATTAAAAGATAAAGTTCTTTATTTTAAGGAATATATAAATATATGCAGCCATACCCTAGCAAATCCAGACTCCATGCTTTCAAAAAGAACAACAACCAGTGACTCGCTTCCAGTAATGCACACCAACGTTTTCCATATAATCAATGCGGATGAAATGATCATACCTTAAGTTGGGGAAAAAAAAAAGGAAAGATAAAAGAAAAAGGAATCAACACTTTTGATAAATTGGGCTTACAAATCACAACTCCAAAATACCAAAATGTACATATATACACATTGTAGGTACCCTTCCTAAGTCCCACAACTACAATTGGTGTTACGTAAAAAATAAAAGCTGCAAAAGTCCAGGCGTACCTCTCTCTGTCTCCAGTTCGCCGCTCCGCTGGGTCTCCCTCACGGCAAAAATTTAATTCCCAATCCCTATCACAACCCATCTCATGCTTCTCTCCATCATCTCTCTCCCTCTCCCTCCTCTCTCTATCCTCCAGCTCCCGCCTCACCTCGACCTCCGCTTGCTTCCGCTTTCGCTCTCTCTCTTGTACTCCGTCGACCAATGACCCGTAATTACCTATTTCAGCAACCATTGTACTAAGTTGTGCATCGTTTGTCTGATAGCATAATGAAAATAGCCGAAAGATGAATCTTGCACAATCAAAAACAACACAGGTAACAGAATCCATCAAACAAACCTTATAATCATATTAAAAAAAAAAAAACATATGAAATAAAATCAAAATTTTACAAAGTTTACCTCTCTTGCGCTCACCCTTGAGATTCACGTTGGACTCCTGTGTCGTCATCGGCGGAGGCGTACCATCTGCACCATTTTCTCATCGGATCGACCTTCACCTGACACCATTTCCTCATCTGATCGACCTACACAATTTTGTTAACGATAAAAAAGGATTGATTTTGATAAGATATTAAATTGATTTTGATAAGGTTGTGTAACATCCGCCCCTTATTAGGAATTTTAGTTGATTTTTGTACATATCTTCCTCCAAAACGTGTGGACTTTTATGCGGGCAAATAAAAAAGAGGAATGCATCACAACAGATTTCATTAAAATCTTCTGAGCGCGTGAACCATTTAATCCGATAAATATGGAATGATTTTTGCCATTAATTACAATAACGTGTGAATTGTGATATGGACTGCGAATGAGTGCGTTAATGAGTTTCGGATGTTTAAAATGGATTTTTAAAATGGTTGCCATATTCAGTAAGTCAAAAGGGTTGACTGCGAATTTTTTAAAACTTTCCTCATTTGATTTATTGACCTCTCTTTTTCAATATATATAGATTTTCTACACTAGTTCGCCCACCGGAAAGGGTGGAATCTTCGAATGTTGACCTTTTTGTCACGAGATATTCTAATCTCATCATTTGTTTGTAGGTCGCCACTCAAATAGCTGTCTACTCTCTTGCTCGTCCACAGTTTCAAGGACTGCTCGAGCTAACTTTTTATTATCATAGGTTAGTATCCTTTGTGATCTCAAACCCTATCTCAACATGTATCAGCTCCCCATAGGTTAGGCTAAATGGAGACTCATCGGTAGTCGACCTTGGAGTTGTACAATATGCCCATAGGACCAACATCAGCTCATCGACCCAAGCTCCTAAAGCTCGCTCCAACCTTGTTTTCAAGCCATTTAATATCGTTGTGTTCATGACCTCCGCTTTCCATTAGCTTGCCACTGAGCTACTGAAGCGAAATGGTGCTCGATCTTCATCTCCTCATACCAAGATCGAATTTTCCAACCACTAAATTGTATTCTTTTATGAGATCAACACTTTTGGAACTCCAAAACGAAACCAAATGTTGTTGTATAAAAAATGAATGGCCTTTTCTTTTCTAATTCGAGATAATGGCCAATCTTTCACCCATTTTGTGAAGTAATCAACTGGTACGATACAAAAGTTTCTTTATCCGATGTAGGGGCCACCATGTTGATTCTCCGTTGAGAAAAGAGGACTGGTGCACTCATAGGTGTCATCTCTTATCTTGTTTGTGCGTAATAGGACCATATTTTGTACATTAAATACATTTTTTAACCATCTTTATTGCTTCAGTTCGCATTGTAGGGAGAGGGTAGTGGTCATTCTGGCAGTCCTTATTTAGGATATGAAAATCGATACACATCCTCCACCTCCCCTGCCATTTGGTAACCATAATTGTGTTAGAGAGCCATTCAGGGAATTGTATCTCAATGATGTGCCCAACTTTCAGCAACTTATCAACCTACAACTCGATAACCTTGTCCATCTCTTCTCTGTGATGTCACCTATTATTCTTCACTCGTCACACCTTTGGATCAATATTCAACCTATGCTCAATAATGGTAGCTTCTATTCCAGTCAGCTCGTTCATCATGACGAAAGGATCTCGGAGACCCACCAAAGTACGAAATCCAGGATCTTTCAGAAAACAAATTCCTATTCGATGCAAAAATGTCCTTAAGCTCCATGATGAGGCAGATGAGCTCGCCCTTCAGAGGTTCTTGCAGATCTCCCCCGATTTTAATCTCCTGACCTTCCGTACCTTCAATCGGTTTCACCTCCACCATCTTTTCATTAGGATGCATATAGCCCCTCTCATTTTCTGGTTTTGACTTGTCGACCTCTTTGCTCGTATTGCTGCTACATCTGTCTATTTGCTTTCATGCTTTACTGTCATTAGATAACATGAACTCGACGTGAGCTGGTCACCCTCGACCTCTCATACCAACTCACCCACTAGAAACTTAATTTTATGTTGTAGGTAGATACCACTACCTGGAATGAGTTGAGATTTGGTCGTCCCAATATGATGTTGTGGGCTGACTCTAACTTCACTACAAGAAACCTCACCATTTTTATTTTTTGGGTTGCACCCGACCCCAACGCCACTGGTAACGTTACTTCGCCCATGGGATAACCTCTCCCCCGTTGAATCCATACAATGTCGTGTTGACCTTCTTCAAATCGACCTCGAACTCTATTTTCTTAAAACAATCATAAAACAGAACGTCTAATGAGCTCCCCGCATCAATAAACACTCGTTGTACCTCATATCCTGCAACCTTCAGGGAAATAACCACTGCATCATTATGAGGTGTGTGCACTTACGTCATCCGATGTGAAGCTGATGATTGGTTTCGTTGTTGTAAATACGACCTCTTCCATTTTTACTCTTTGCAGCTTGTGCATGTTGCTTGAGTACATTATTGGAGTCCCCACCAGTAGGTCCTTCAGGGGTTTATGCGTCAAAAGACACCTTCCATAACGTGTCCAGTCGTCCAAAACTGAGTACGAACCTTTTCGACATGAGCATGTGCGTCCAAGTCGCATTCTCATCGTGCCAAAGATGATTCGTCGTGCCGAACGGGTCGGCTGATTCGGGTGTCACTCTCGCAACGGGACCTGGCGCGCGATTGCGTGTCGGGAACCTGTACGCGCTTGCTTGGACTCAGAATTGTGTTCTTTTTTTCCTACTCGTCCCCAACGAACTTTTTAGAGTTCTACCATGTATGAAACATGATTATTGCTCGTTTGTCTAGTCCAAACTTTCGTCAAAGATATAAAATTTGTGAATTCAACAATCTTTGAGTGATTTAAAGTCAATTTTGAGTTACATAAACTCGAATTTCCCCACATTTCAACTATAGAATTAATTTTCTCATTCAACCTGAAATGATATTAAGATTTTATTTTAAGTCTTCCACTTACGAAAAGTAGAACGAAAAAATCTATATAANGCGGGTAGACATCTAAACAAGCAAGAAGTGGACAAGTTTCATTGCAACACTTTCAAAAGATTGATAAGATATGAAAAAAAAATCATTCAATTAATTCAATATTTGTAAATGGTTGAAGTGCTAGATTATATATGAGGATCCGTAAAAGCTCATTTGGAGTTTGTTAATTATAATAGCCAACCAAATGGGAACTTTTATATTCTTTAATGGTTAATATGAAGATTAATTAGTTTGATACGTAAGTAAAAAAGCACAAACAAACTATAGTCTAATTGAAGTCTAATACAATGTATGGTTAAAATTTCAAATGGATTTGAGGAAAAAAAAAAATTAATTATTGACTTTAGTATTTTCTTCATTTACCTACACATAGTTTTAAATAGGTTGCTAGTATGTTAGTCAATCAGTTCGACGAAATAGACCATCATTTAAGTTTTTATAAAGGTTATTAGTCAATCAGTTTGACGAAATAAATTATTTTTTTAATAAATATACATTGTTTTTTCATAAATATTATACTTTTCAAAATAATGTAAAACTAGTATCCCACTTGTGTACTATGCCGGTCTCTAGAAAAAACATTTATATAGCGGAATTAGAAAAATAAATGTATAATAAATAATGAATTTTTAGAAATGATAATCATTATACATTTATAAAATTATATAAGTTTAACACAAATATCTCTCCTATATATAATTCTCGAGTTTGTTGAGATTAAGTGACAAGCACCCTCTGAAATCATATGTGGCAAAAAAATCATGCTTCATAGTCAGATTTATATATAAATTAATACTTTTTTTTATATATATACAAAAGTAATTAGACTTGAATTGAGTAAAAGCCCACATGCACAATTGGGCCTACACAAGTCCTTGTAACAAAACGACTCAAAACGTGGTGTTAGGTCGATCCCACGAATGACAGACGTTAGTCCTTGCCGATCTCTTTCTGAGTCTTCTCGAAGAAGATTGACAATCCTCCTCATTTGAACGCCAAACCGATAAAGATGATAAAGTCACAGTCCAAGTTGTCACATCACCAAAAGATGAGTTTTGTATGGATACACGCGGTGCCACCCTACGCCCCTTAGCTGACGCTAGACATTTATTGCTTTCTTACTTTTTCTGTGTATAAATAGTTAAATAGTGATCCATTTGGGTCCTAACATAGACATGAAAAACAAGCCAAGCATCCTCCCCACACATTCCATACACTCTCACTACACAATCTCTTAATAAAAATTCCATAGAACTATTCTTTTTGTTGATCTGCACAGCAGATCGACAATATCGGTGTCTTGTTTCTTTTTTAAACATATTCACATTCCTACGTTTGTTCATATCCTGACCTGAGGTGAACCGTAAACACTATTATTAGACCTTTCGCTGCACCGAGTTTAAAGGACCACTAAATTGCTTGTGATGACGGTTCATATTTTTCTCTTCTGATTAGCCTCATAAATTGACCTACAACTCATGCATCTAAAGAATATTGAACCTCCAACCTCTACCAATTGGGAGAGGCTACTATACCACCATAACCCAATGCTGGTTATGATTTAATAAACCTAACCGAAAAAGATCTTGGAGCCAGAACCAGATTAAGTTCAATAACTTAATTAGATCATGATCATATTTAATGATCCAATAAAACCAACATTTACCATTTTAGGTACTCCAATTTTGTGTTTTATATTATTTCACTATTTTATAAGGCACCACTTGATGATGGGACCGTTTCCAAAGGAGAGGTTATGTTTATCTAGAGTTGATTACTTGCTGTTCTGCTGAAGAAAGTGACAAGCTGTTTTTAAAAAGTTGGAGCCAAATTCAAAATATAGTAAAGCTATTTTAGAATGTTTGTTGATGTGCACAAATGTCTAATCGCCCTTTGTGCTTGCTTAAAGAATGATCACAAACAAAAGCAATAAAATTGGACACAAAAACCAACAAGCTAAACCACCAATCCTTAAAGATTTCAGGTTCAAAACAAGTAAAAACACACAAAATTGGATTAATGATTGAGAAGGTATCTACATAAATGTACAAAACCGATAAAGGAACAGTTGAATTATAGTCGTTTTTTGCCTATCTTCATGTCGTTAACTGATGCTCGACAGGAATTAGTTAGATGACCGTGAAAAAACAGACAAATAACCGAAATGTCGTCCATTACATTAGCCTTTCCTTTTTGTTTCCATGCACTAACCGCACGCTCGACCAGCCTCTTAGCCGACTCTGACCTTTCTGGTGTCGAATAAACAATCTCAACTGCTTCTTCATTAGTAATAACATCCCACACCTGAAAAATAGAACCAATGTCAATCTAATTGGGTGAAATAACACTTGGCACACGAATAATGTGAAAGTTCTTGTTACATACCCCGTCCGTTGCCAATATTACAAACTGGTCCCTGCTGGTTATGTATCTTAGTGTTATTTCAGGCTCAGAGATAAGTCCAAAGCCTTTGATGAAGTAATCACCAAAGGCCCTTGAAACAGCCAAACCAGGGCCTTTCACACTCTGCCCACTACTTGGCATCCATACTCTCTGTACTCCGGGTTCGTCCGGGCAAGAATATATTCTCCCTCTCGATTGTGCAATCCGTTTATGTTCACCTGTATCCAAAAAAATATTTAGTTTTTCAAAATTGCTGAAATTTAAGAAAATTAATTTTATTATATAAAAAAAAAAAATGGGGGGAGGGAGCTAACATGGTAGATTTGGTTTGAGGTCGGTTGTGAGTTTAGTCGATACTAAATTCCCATCGTCTGAAGTAGTTGCTAACACGGCCCGTGAGTCACCGACATTAGCAACCATCATCAAGTTTCCCTAAATAAGAAATAAAATAAAATAAAATAATTGGGACTGATTATTAAATGGGAAATTCGTTTTTCTTACCTGTCTAACGAGTGCCAAAGCGGTAGTGCCACTGTAAAACGAGTCTAGCCGAGGATGGTGCTCGAGTTCTCGATCAACAGCAGCACAAGTCTTGTAATAAGATTGTTTCCACAGATCAAACTGAGTATGGTCATTTTGGCAGTGATATGGATTGTGAGCATTTATTGCAGCAGTTTCTTGCCAGCTGGAAAGCAACAAGGATGGCATCAACTGACGAACGTATTTGGACACGAGATGTCCCCAAGGCCCGTGCCCGTCAAAAACGCCACAAAATACCATGTCCTTTTGAAACCCGAATTCCTGATCTCATAACATAAANNNNACTCTTTGTTAAGAAAACAGAGAATTAAACGTATATCTTTACAAAGAGTTGTAACTTTGTTACTAACCTCCCACACAATGAAGCGATCCTGATTAATCCCTTTTTTCCCTCCTTTGGAATAAGCCACGGTGTAATTTTCTGACTTTTGAGCGCGAATAACGCCACAAGAAGTTAGCAAAAGTTGCTTCTTTTTTGCTTCCTTGGCCAAGTCATGAGCAGTTTTGCTTACAACACATGATGGTTTATTACTTTTTCCTTGTCTACTGGACAGCGTGTTGAACAGCGCGAAAAACTGCACCATCTTCCAAAGGGTACGATCAAGCTTTGATCTACAAATTAATCATTAAGCACTTGAATAAAGCAAGAAAAAAATTTAAATTGCAGCAAAAATAAGTGGACAGTTGATGGCTTATTTCTCAAGTACTGAACTGAATAAATGACGATGCAGAATTTAGCAACCACTGATAAATCATAACATTCAGAATTAGCTTCCTTCATAAAACAGAGTTATTATTCTAAAATTAAAACAAGAAGAGATTATATTCAAAAATATATATATATATAAAAAAAAAGAAAGGTATAGTACCCTTGATCTGTTGCGATTTTTCACTTTCCTCTTGTTAAAAGCCGATGTAAAAATTGAGATGTGTAGACAGTTGATTCAAACAGCTTATTTTGACACTCAGTTTTTGTAATCTCTGTACCATATTTATATGCAAAAGGATATGCAATTATGCATGCATACGTTGGGAACTTTTGGTTTGGGCGGTCATTAAATAACATAAATCCCATTTGTTGATCAACCTGGTAATTTTGACTTTTTCATGGCTTGTGAAAGATGCTTACATGTCAAGTTCTTATGAGCCATAAAAGATGCTTACATGTCAACTGTTATGCACACCTTCTTGTATTAGATTTTTTTTTTTTTTTTTTTTTNATGCATACTTATATTATGGAATATCCTACATTTGTTTATATTATCTAATTGGAATAGAAAATTTTATTTATGAGTATTCATATCTGTTAAAAAATTATGGTTGTATATCAAAGAGAGCTTTCAAGCATTGTAAGTGACGAGCCAGATATGAAAAAGTTGAAATAAACAAGACAATGAACAAATAATGAAAACTGCGTGCCGGTATTGGAATAAAATTATATATATTATAAGCTATATGTGGTACATAATGACCAATCATGTTTAGAATTCCACTTGCATAATTAAGTAAAATATTTTGGTGGCTCACAATACAAGTAAACCAAAGTCGGCCATATGTTGGGCAGTTGATCCCAATTCTTAATGTTATCACAAATTAAATTACAATAAACAGCGTAGGTTGTCGTAGGTGAAAAAAATATATTAAATGGGTGGCAATCATTATTGTTAATAAAGAGTTATTGCTAGATTTAATTTTATAGATCTTACTTGCTTCTAATGGATGTTTTT